GAGCTTTAGGCCGATGGCTCCCAAGTTAGACGACTTTAGGGCAGAATGTTTTAAAATACCCTTACAGGCTCAATCACTCGAGTCAAAAAGGTTTCATGGAGAAGTTTAAAATTTTCAAATGTATATGCTTTGATTAGTGCAATGCCCCTTATCACACACTTATTCAAACAAATGACCTCTAACTTAAGACTTTCGCCAAATTTTATCATGTTAGTCTAAGACAATCCACGCATAAGTTCTCACACATGGAATCCGCATTCACATCCGCATCTTCCTAAACTGTAAAGTCACCTTCAAACTTTGCTAAATTTGGTCTAAGGATAAATAATTTAATATAGCTCAGGTAAAGCATCTATTTCCCACTAGATCAACCTATCAAAAGAAAGAAACAACTAATCTAATCACAATGTCAAACTCAATTCTAGTGTGCTTGTAGTATCAAATTTTGCAAGGTTGAGCTTCAATTAGTCTAGTATATATCATATCCACAGTTCATAAATCAACACCAAAACTTAAATTAAATTATCATTATCTGCCAGACTGTCTAACCCACACAAGCACACAACTAAATAAATTTATTTTTTTTAACAAACACACAAAAATATAAAAACAAAAACAAAAACAATTTCTTTTTTCACCCTCCAACTTTAAAACTGACATTGTCCTCAATGTCATAAAACATAAATAAGCACATAAAGGGGGTAGGGAAGAAAAAGAAGAAGGTACTCCCCAAATTTTTCTGTTGAATGTGTGAGGCAATATGTGAGATGACTGGATAATATTCTTCATCATATTTTTCCCTTGGATCTATGTTGGTTTGAGTGTTTCACGATGTCATGTTCCTGAAAAATCAAATGTGACAAATTAAAGATAAGGAACAAGGGTTACTTAGCTCAAACAATCAAAATAACCAACAATAAATTCAAGGGCCTGAGGGCGGAAGGGATATGGGTGATGACTCTTAAAAATTGAAACGTGCCTAAATCTAATGCAATCTAGTAAACAAAACAAAACTATATGCTATGCGATACGAAAAAACAAAATAAAATGTTTGAAAATTGGGTTGCCTCCCAATAAGCACTTCTTTTAAGTCGTTAGCTGGACTTTGTGCTGCTCTTATTCTGGTACAGCTAGGTCAAGGCTCTCTTTAGCGGTGGAAAAATCTTCCACGTAGTGCTTGATACGTTGGTCATTTACTTTGTAGTTTCCTTTTGTTGGATGGTGTAATTCAACCGTGTTGTAGGGAGACACTTGAGAGACCGTAAAAGGGCCGGACTATCTAGATTTCAACTTTCCTGGAAATAGTTTAAGTCTGGAATTGTATAAAAGCACTTGATCTCCTACTCTAAAAATTCTTTGCCTGATGTTTTTGTCATGCCACTGCTTCGTCATTTCCTTGTAGATGGCTGCATTCTTATATGCTGCTCTTCTGAATTCTTCCAATTCATGTCACTGCAATATTCTTGTTTCTCCAGCCTTTTCGAGGTCCATGTTTAACTGCTTCAATGCCCAGTATGCTCTATGTTCGAAATCCATTGGTAGGTGACATGCTTTTCCAAAGACTGGTCGATATGGGGACATCCTAATAGGTGTCTTGTACGCAGTGCGATATGCCCATAAAGTATCATCTAATTTCTTTGATCAATCCTTGCGAAATGCATTCACAGCGAGCTCCAGAATTCTTTTCAACTGTCTGTTCGAGGTTTCCACCTATCCACTTGTCTAAGGGTGATAAGGAATGGCAATTCGTTGTTGTACCCCGTACTTATGTAGCACTGCCTGAATAACCGATTGCGGAAGTGAGTTCCACTATCACTTATTATAGCCCTAGGTGATCCATAGCAGTTAAAGATGTGTTTCTTTATGAAGTCCACCACTACTCTCGCGTCATTTGTAGGCAATGCTTTAGCTTCTACCCATTGAGAGACATAATCATTGCCATTAGGATGTACCAATTGTTGTAAGATGATGGAAAGGGACCCATAAAATCAACCCCCAGACATCAAATACTTCTACCTCCAAAATATTGTTAAGTGGCATCTCGTGATGCGATGATATGTTACCTGTTCTTTGACATTTATCACATGATCTGCAGAAACTGTGGCAATCCTTGAATAATGTAGGCTAAAAGGAACCACATTGAAGCACATTTGCTGCTGTTTTAGTGGGACCAAAGTGTCTTCCATAAGCCGAAGCATGAACTCGTGAAATGATAGGTTTCATCTCATCCTCTGGCATACATCTCCTAATGATCTGGTCTGCCCCTCTTCTGTATAAATTTGGAGCATCCCAATAATAAAATTTCGCTTCATGAATCAACTTCTTTTTCTGCTGATAGGTGAGATCAGGATCCATATAGCCACTAGCTAAGTAATTAACAATGTCTGCATACAATGGAGCCTTTTCTATCTGCAATAACTGCTCATCTGGGAAGACCTCATTAATATCCACATCATTTGAATCACGAAGCTGCTCTAGCCTTGATAAATGATCTGTTATCTGATTTTCTGTACGCTTTTTATCGCGAATTTCAATGTCAAACTCTTGCAGTAACAAAAGCCATCGAATCAGCCTAGGTTTAGCATCCTTCTTCTCAAACAGATATTTCAATGCTGTATGGTCAGTGTAGACTATCACCTTTGAACCAATCAGATAGGAACGAAATTTGTTGAAAGCAAACACCACTGCTAGCATCTCTTTTTCCGCTGTTGCATAGTTGATCTGAGCATTTGTCAAGGTTTTGCTGGCATAGTAGATTACATGTAACATTTTGCCTTTACGTTGGCCAAGCACCGCTCCCACTACAAAATCACTAGCATCACACATAAGTTCGAAAGGTAGATCCCAATCAGGTGCTACTATTACAGGTGCAGAAGTTTACTTTTCTTTCAAAGTGTTAAAGGCATTTAAGCACTTATCAGAAAAGTGAAATGGCACATCCTTCTCCAATAGATTACACAGAGGTTTTGTAATTTTTGAGAAATCTTGAATGAACCTTTTGTAAAACCCTACATGTCCTAAGAAGCTCCTGATCCCCTTAATTGTATTAGGAGGCTGCAATTTTTCAATCACTTGTATTTTGGCTTTGTCAACTTCAATGCCCTTTGAGGAGATCTTGTAGCCCAGCACTATCCCCTCTTTTACCATGAAATGACATTTTTCCCAATTTAGCACTAGGTTCTTCTCTTCATATCTTTGCAATACAAGAGCCAACTGATCGAAGCAGTCATCAAATGAATCTCCATACACAGAAAAATCATCCATGAATACCTTGATGTATTTTTCCACCATATCAGAAAATATGGCCATCATGCACCATTGAAAGGTTGCGGGTGCATTGCATAAACCAAAAAGTATCCTTCTAAACGCAAAAGTTCCATAGGGACATGTGAAGGTTGTTTTCTCCTAGTCTTCTGGAGCAATAACTATCTGATTGTACCCAGAATATCCGTCCAGAAAGCAATAATGAGAATGACCGGCCAACCTCTCCAACATCTGATCAATGAATGGCAATGGAAAATGATCCTTTCTGGTTATATTGTTTAGATTTCTGTAATCTATACATACTCTCCACCCTGTCACTAATCGCGTTGGTATCAGCTCGTTGTTCTCATTCTTTTCCACTGTGATTCCACCCTTTTTTGGCACAACATACACTGGACTCACCCATGAACTATCAGAGATTGGATAGATAATACCTGCATCCAACAATTTCAGCACATCTTTTCGCACTACTTCTTTCAAGGTTGGATTTAATCTGCGTTGTCCTTCCACTGATGGCTTTGACCCATCTTCCATTAAAATCTTGTGCATACAAAGAGTTGGACTTATTCTTCTGATGTCAGCTATTGTCCATCCAATTGTCATTTTATGCTGCTTGAGTACCTCCAACAATTTATTCTCCTCTTCCATTGTCATGTCATTTGCAACGATTACTGGAAGTGTTGTAGATTCTCCCAAATATGCATAACGAAGATATGAAGGAAAGGGCTTTAGTTCAAGAGTGGGTGCCTTTTCTACTGAAAGTACTGGGGATGAAGGGTTGTCCCCAAGAGATTCATACTGCCAATGTCTTCTTCCTATTGGTTGCTTAGCTAAGTTGAAGACACGTTCAGTTTTTTCTGCACTTGTTGCTCCCGATTGTGCAATTTTTACTTCACAAAGAACTGTTTGATGTTATGTCTCAAATGTATCTGCCACCAACTCTTCAAGAACATCTACTTGACAACAGGTGTCTGAAGTCAGTGGATATTTCATCGCCTTGAACATGTTGAATATGACTTACTCATTGTCCACCCGAAGAATCATCTTTCCATCGTAAACATCAATTAGCACTCTTCTGGTAGCCAAGAAGGGTCTTCCCAAGATTAGAGGGATGTTTGAATCTTCCTCCATGTCCAATATGATGAAGTCAGCTGGAAAAATGAATTTATCAACTTTGACTAGCACATCTTCAATAATCCCTCGTTTGATTGATCTATCAGCCAGTTGCAATGAGATTGTTGTAGGTTTTGCCTCTCCCAATCCAAGAGACCAGTAAACAGAGAGAGGCATTAAATTAACACTGACACCCAAATCGCATAAAGAATGTTCAAAATAATTAGAACCAATTGTGCAAGGTATCGTGAAATTCCCTGTGTCTTTTAGTTTAGGAGGTAGCTTTTTCAATAAAATTGCACTGCATTCTTCGTTCAGGCAGACTATCTCATGTTCTTCCAGCTTTCTTTTGTTAGATAGGATCTCCTTCAAGAATTTAGCATAGCTGGGCATTTGGGCAATTGCATCTGCAAATGGAATATTGATGTGCAGTTTCTTGAATATCTCCACAAACTTGGCAAACTACTTGTCTAATTTCTTTCTCTGTAGCCTCTGAGGGAAGGGAATTGGTGGAACATAAGCCTTTACGGGGTTGGGTGCTCTCACTGGGGGTGTTTTTTTCCTTTTATCATCCTCGTTAGTTGGTTGTTCAGACTCTGCTTTTGTCCCAGCCTCTTCACCCATTACTTCTTTGTCCTTTCTGTCTGGTCTCTCACATGTATCTCTGGAAGTTGCACTCCACTTCTAGTCGTAATAGCTTGCACTTGCTCTTTTGGATTGACCATTGTGTTGCCTGACAATGTCCCTTGTGGGTGTTCTGTAAGCTGTTGAGCAATCTGACCAATTTGAGTTTTCAGCTTCTTAATGGATGCTTGCTGATTCTAAAAGTTAGTGTCAATCTACTGGAACACCTTGTCTGTCTTCTGCATGTACTGGTTGAACATCTCCCCCTGGTTTTTTCTCCTGTTGTGTATTGTTTGAACTGTACCCTTGCTGATTATACGACCATCTAAAGTTTGGGTGTTGTCTCCATCCTGGGTTATATGTTTGTGAAAATGGATTAAAATTTCGAGAGTCATTTTGAATGAAGTTGACTTGTTCCTCCAGAAAGCCCATAGATGTGCAATTTTCTGTTAGATAATTTGCCCCGCAGTTTTCGCAAGATGGGCCAGTTATCACTGCATGTGCTCCTTTTGTTTGTGACTTCACCAATAACTCTACTTGTTTTGTCAATGTTGCTATTTGGGCGTTGGTAGATGCTTTACTATCTAATTCATATATTCCCGCTGCTTTTGGAGGCACCACTCTTTCTGATGAAAACATGGAATGAGTAGTAGCAATCAACTCAAATAGATTTATACGTTGCTGAACTGATTTTCCTATGATCAATCCACCTACAGAGGAATCCACTTGAGATTTGGACAGTGGTGAAAGTCCCGTGTAGAAATACTACACTTGATTTCCAATAGTGATCCCATGATTTGGACACTTCCTCATCAACTCCTTAAATCTGTTCCATACCTCGTGGTAGCTCTCCCCATTTCTCTGTTGAAAAGTTTGAATTTCCAGTCTGATTTTTGCTAACTTAGCTGGTGGAAAGAACTTATTGCAGAATTTCCTAGTCAATTCCTCCCATGTGGTAATACTTCCATCCAATTCGGCATCCAGCCATTCCAATGCTGCATCTCTCAGTGTATAAGGGAATAATTGCAGCTTGATGGCGTCCTCATTAACTCCAGGAGCATGACAACTCTGGCAATTCCTGAGAAACCTTGAGATATGTGTGTTTGGATTCTCATGAGGTAACCCGTAGAATTGTAGAGTGTTGCTCATCAAATTAATCCAATCAGCTCGTATCTAGAAGTTGTTTACCCCAAAATCTGGATATACTATATTGGACCGCGCGGGTGCTGCTATAGGCATCAAAAACATAGAAATTGGCAAGTCCCCTTCATTTACTTCCCGTTGTTCTTGTTGTTGTGCTCTCGTGACCATTTGTCCAATTGGCTATATAGGGTTAGGATTGTTTAGATTATCAGCCATTTGATATTGCTATTTTTGTTTATGTTCCCTGCGTCTTCGTCTGAAGGTACGTTCTATTTTCGAATCAAACGGTTCAAGATTGTCATCTTGGGCACGGAGTATACAACGAGCACAGTTTTTTTTAAATAAAAGAAAATAAACAAATATAATAAAAATTAAAAATTAAAATATAAAAAAAATTAAAACTAAAAGTAATAGTCCCCGGCAACGGCGCCAAAAACTTGTTGTCAATTTTATCCCGCAAGTGGACGAATCGTAACAAATAGTAAAGTGGATCTTTTGGGTCCGGATTATCGTTCTCACGACGACTATACTTTAGTACTCAATTTATTATTCCTAACTCCTATTTGATGAATATAAATAAAAATATATATATTTGATTGACTGTGATTTTTAAATCTAACTACTAAAATCTCGGGAATATAACAGAAAATTAGTAAGAATTCAACTAATAAATGGAGATTAGGGCAGAACAACTTCACTTGTTGATCACCTTTATTTATAATATTGAGATTCATAAAATTAAAATAGTGTTCGGTCGAATTCTTTTATTGTATTCAACTTACCCCTCTCGAGTTTTCGTTGAGTCTACTTAATTAGTTCAATTCCATATCTCTATGCAAATTAAATTTAATTAAACGCAACATTGTTTTTAAGAATTCGCGCACGACCTCAGCAATCAATATAGGTACCTCTACACGTTATATCAATTGACCAGATTTTAACATATGATCTAAACAAATAATCCGCATCTCTACGCAATCATTGTTCACAAATCAACTAACTAGTGATCAAGTAATTAAATGCATTAAGAACAACATTAAAATCAACACATATTAAATAAAAGCACTAGAATCTTAATTGATGAAACAAAGGGTTCCAAAAGATTACGTTGTTCGCCCTAAATCAAATCTAGCTACTCATAATAATGGAAGAAACGCAAGATAAAATAATGGAAGACATCACCGGGATTAATTGATGAAACGTGAATGAATTTCCCAATTTTGCTCTAGCCGCCTTCTTTTCTGCCTTTGTTCCCGATGTAACATGATAAATTTTCCAAGTGAAACTGCAGTCCCTACTACTTGTTCAAAATTATCTTCGGTTTGTGTGTCTCTGTATATGTTTCGCAAGCTGCCACCTTGTTTGACTCCAACAACAACCGTCTTTAAATACCTCTGTCGATTCTCTCTTTTTCTTTCACAATTGAATTCCTCTCTCTCCCAGGATTGTACGTATATATATATATATATATATATATATATATATATATATATATATTGCACTTAAAGTCCTTAGTCTCTTCAATATAATAAATTTCAATCCTTGAGCCCTTTTATTCTTGTAACCCATGTATTCTTTAGTTCAATCCAAGTCCTTCACTTTCTAAATTATTCAATTTGACCTCCAAACATTTCAATCTTCGATTCATGGTCCGAATCAACTATTGAATTGTTACAACTTGGCCCCCAACTTTTCGATTTCGCTCTTTTTTGGCTTCATTCCTTAAATTCCTTTTTCATTCATAGGATTTCGCTCTTTTTTTGCTTCATTCCTTCAATTCCCTTTTCATTCATAGAATTTACATATTAAAAATAAGAAACAACAATTTAGAATATAATTTGTCAAAAGAACCATCAAATATCTTCATTTTAAGGTACCGAATAAGTGTATAAAATACACTTATCAGGTATAATTAACAAATTTCGTAAGTTTTATAAGGATTTGGAATGTCTTCAAATATTATAGTACTTCAACTACTCTCGTTTCTTCACTTGGTATATAACACCTTATGATATGTAACTAAGGATGACAATCAGGTTCGTCGGCTCAGACTGCCTGTGGCTCAGCTTGTAAAAAGCTCGAGCCGACTCGACTTGAGGCTCGGGCCGAGCACCATTTTTGAGTGCCAACAAAGCTCGAGCTAGCCCGTGTGGCTCGCCTACTCGATCTCATGGGCTTATATTAGTAGTATAAAAAAATTAATTTAGAAGGCAACAACATGCTGCCTAAAATAAGTAGCAGGTTGCTGTCTTATTTGATAAGGTAACAGAGGCTACCTTTTTTAAGGCAGCCTCTTGTCACGGACCGTAAGGTGATAACTTGAAGCTTGGTATGACACGAGAATGTCATGGCACAAAGTGAAAAAATGAGATAGATTTATGACAAATAAGGTCTAAGCTTCGGCAGTACATGGTGATGAGGGCATTGCCAAATTTAGTGGGAGATTGACTTACATCCCCCATGGTCATGGCTAATACGTACAGGTTGTGGTTGGAGAATTCGGGTAACGCAGGCAGTCCGTTACGGATGGACGGAAGTACTTGTGTCGACAGGGGATGCAGGCAGGACCAAAACAGGAACTGTGGTAGGGAGACGCAGACAGGCAAAACTCAGGCAGACGTAGCAGATTGTGGTGCAACAACAACACATGCAGATTGCGGCAGGAGACATAACAGCACACATGCAGACTGTGTAGACAGCCGTAGGATGGGGATGCAGACATACGTTGGCTAGGGACGTAGGGACGAAAATCTAATTTTCTCAGGTGAAAACCAGATTCGTGAGGGGGACGCAATACCATAGATTGTGGCTGGTTGTTTAGGATGTAAATGTATGCCAACTCGAGCCAATTGGATAACTTGGAAAATGAGACCATCATGCAACTTGACAATTTGCTTGAGGAAGCATAGTCTAACTTGGCCACCTTGATGGAGATATGTCCACTTGCACACATGAGTTGTAGAGATCCACTTGCATGGAAAGTGACATACCAACTAGCATAGAGTTGGAAAGGTGCAAGATATAATGCAACAAGGTAACTTGCAAGTGTAGAGACATGTCACTTGCAAGGTAGTCAATTCCAACTTGGCTACATTATGGCCAAAGGAGGTTTAAGGCAACTTGCAACCAATGAGAGCCCTTGGATCAAGATTAATCCTAGTCATTGATGCCAACTTGCATACCTTGAGTTTGCCTATAAATAGAAGGACCTGGTCATTTGTAAATCATATATGAATGAATAGATGAATTAGTAGAGAGAAAAATAGAGAGTTGAGAGAAAATTCCCATGGATGGAATGTGAGTAAAGTGAGATGGAGTAATATCTTTGTAGAGAGAAAATTGTAGTGAATTTGTACATAGTTCTCTTACATTTATAGAAAGAAAGTTTTCCCCAAATATATGTGTGTACTCTTTTCCTTATAAATTTCTTATCTACTATCTCTTCCAAAGTTAGCATATAATTAAACCTCATTTAGTTAAATTATTGTGAGGGTGAAAGGCTGAGTTAACGCTATCTTGTGGGGATGGGATTGTTGGAGCATTAAGGCCGCATGGTTCTAGCCTTGTTCGGGTATAACGAAACTAGGCCCGTGACAAGTGGTATCAGAGCCAGGTTCACGTGGGGTTGAACCAATTTTTCATCTCAGAGGTAAAGTGACGTTTGTGTGAAGTTCACGTGGTGTGGACTACGGAGGTAATATCAAGGGAAAGTTTTGGTTGTGCTAACCAAGTGCAGCTATGGTAGCTAGCTTCGCGGGAGGTTCTTAGAAGCTAGATTTGGGTGAGGTACTCAAATGGCGGAATCTCATGATGCTATCAAAATTGAAGGAGAGATAAGACGTTGTGTTACCCCGGTAGAAGGAATGAGGACATGTGGGAAGAGCAAAGCACGGGAAGCTTCAATGATGGAGGAAAAGCTTGACCCGATCATCATCAACATGGGTGATATGGTCGAATCCTTGGAACACTCCATGGAGGAATTGGAGGATCATGCCATTGGAAAGTTAGAAACTCTCCAAATTAATGTGCAAGAGGTGATGGATGATCAGGCATCGTTGGAGGACAATGTCCAGGCGGTAAAGCATGATGTTCAGACTGTGGAAGTTGGACATGCCGCTGTAGGTGAAAACTTCACCCGTCTACAAGTCAAAGTCACTAGTGTCGTTAGTGCAATATAAGGGCAAGTGAACAAGTTGGCTATGAAGTTGGAGAAAATGAGCCAAGATTTCAGACAAATCAAGCAATCAATGCCTAGTACTAGCGAAGGTACCGCAACAAGTGTTGTTGCCTTGAAAATTGACTACATGAATGATGGCCGAAAAGATGCCATGGATGTGGAGAACTTCTTATGGAAAATGGAAGTGTACTTTGATGGCGTAAATATCTTCGAGGAGGCAATGAAGGTGATGACTACATCAATGTATCTCTTGGATATTGCGGCATTGTGGTGACGTCGTAAGCATGGCGAATTTGGAAGGGAAGCTTGTAAAATTGATACTTGGGACGACTTCAAAAGGGAGATAAAAAGACAATTTTACCCGAAGAATGTCGTCTATGAGGCTTGCAAGAAATTGAGGGAATTAAAATATACGAGAACAATTCGTGACTATGTCAAAGAGTTCACGACCCTTATGCTTCGAATCCCAAGCATGCGGGAGGATGATTTACTATTCTATTTTCTAGATGGTTGTGCAACGTGGGTGTGACAAGAGTTGCAATGCGGTGGTGTTAAAACCGTAGATGAGGCAATTACAGTAGCCGAATCCTTGACGGAGTTTGAAGAAATTCTTGAGACAGAATCTAAAACTATCAAACTCACCAAAGGAAATTTTGGTGATTATAGGGACAAAACAAGGAAAGTCATGCAATGGAATAAGCCGGATTGGAGGCAAAATTCTAAGGTTGATTATAAAACAGATGGTAACACACAAACTTCTTGGTGAAAGGAGTATAATTTTACACCTCGTGGTTGCTTTATTTGCAAAAGACCACATCTCATGAGATAT